CAGTAGTGCTAGGGTGGGGTTGGCCCTCATATTCAGGGTGAGGGCAGAGGAGGACCCCCAGCTCAGGGACTGGACCCTGCCTGCCCCTGCAGCCAGTGGAGGGACCCCAGCCTCATCCAGGGAGCCCACCACTGGGGTCTGCAGAGCAATCTCTCCTCCAGCTGGAGCAGGAGAATCGGTGCTTGGTGAGCACGACCCCTCCCCCTCCCTACCTCTCATTCCCGAGGACTCCAGGTGGGCTCAGGAGCTCACCTGCAGAGTAGGTGGCACATGGTCTTGGGTGCCTCCCAGACCCACCTTTGCCCACACCAGGCACTATGACAGGCAGCCTCATCTGTTTGTCCCCACCTCCCAGAAAAGGCAGAACCAGGATCTGCAGGAGCAACTGGAGGCCCTCCTGGGGCCAGGGCACCAGTTCCTGCCCCTATGTCCCAAGCACTCGAGCTGCATGACCCTGGCCTGGGTGAGCTGGGGATGAGCCTGCAGGTGGGTGGCTGTCAGGAACGGCCATGACCCATCCTAACTCTTAGCTCCCCTGCAGCCTCCAGAGACACGAAGCAGGACCCAGCCCCTCAAGGCCAGGGGATCCCTACAGGTGCTGCGGCAGGTGTGCCAGGGAGAGGAAGCATTTATGCAGAAGTCCCAGGTGAGTTCCAGCCTGGGAGCAGGAACCCCCAAGGGACACGTGAGGGACAAAGGAGAGAAGGGCAAGGAGGCCACCCCAGCCCTGACAGCACCCACTCAATGCTGACCCCTCCCCCCAGAACGAACTGCAGCAGATCCGCCTATCCTTTGAGAGGAAGAAGATGACCATCACTGAGGTGCCCAATGAGCCTGAGGCAGAGAGGAGGGCTCCACCTGGGGGCCCTGCTCCCCAAGGCTGAAAGGCTGCTTCTCCCCCACCAGGTATGGGACGGTATGGCCGAGGTGCATATGGCACTGAACAACCAAGCCACCGGACTCCTGGTGAGTCCCTCCTGAGGGGTGTGTCTGAAGAGAAGTGGGCAGGGGAGGGCCAACAGGTGGACAGAAATGAAAGACTTGATTCCTGTCCCCCAGAACCTCAAGAAGGACATCCGGGGCGTCCTGGAGCAGATGGAGGACATCCAGCTGGAGATTATGGGGTAATGTGCACGGCTGGGGCCCTAGGGTAGACCCATTCCTGACCTGATCCCTCACCCCAGTTCTGCAGCACAAACCCAAGGGGTAGCCAGGATGGGGGACTGCATGGTGCTGACAGTGTGGTCCCCCAGGGAGCGCACCCAGTGCCGCCCCCAGAACCTGAAGGAAGAGCAGTTGGCTTCCATAGAGGTAAGCCCCACCACTTTCCCAAGCTGGGCCCTCTCTGGAGGTACTGGAGGAGGGGAGCGGAGGCCTCACTGGAAGGGGAGAAATGGGTTTGAGTGAAGGAAGCCAGGTGTCCAGACTGTCCTGGGCCCAATCCTGATGGCAGAGAGCAGTAATGGGGCCACACAAAACAAGGGACAAGGCCTACCTTGACCTTCAGCACCACCCTCCACCCCAAAGCAGCCTCTGACCCGGCCCCCTCCCCAGCAGAAGTCGAGGCCACAAGTGGGCTGTTTGGAGGGCTTCAAAGGCCAGCTCTGGTAGGTCACTGCGAGGGCAGAGCCTGACCCCCACCACCTCTCGGGCGCCCCACCCCCCTGACCACTGCTGCCCACAGGCTGCTGACCCTGAGGCTGCTGCTGGGCACCCTGCTAGCCTGCATCACCGCCTACGTGTACGTGGTGGATCCCGTGCCCTTCGAGGGGCTGGTGCCACCCCTGCTGAGCCGTGCCGCCATCTGGAAGCTCCGGGCCCTCCTGGGCCCCTTCCTGCATCTCGAGGTGGATGACTTCCTGCCCTTCTAGGCCAGAGGCTGGAGGCCGGTGGCCCCAGCGAGGAGGAGGCCAGCGGCCGGCATGGTCCTGGCTATCCAGTAGCCACTCCAGCCCCTGCCAGTAGCCATACAACGTCCCCATCAGGAGCTGCGGAGAAGAATGGAGGCAGGGTCTGTCCTGAGGGCTGGGCCTGCGGCAGGAGATACAGTCCTAACACTCAAGGCAGTATGAGTGTGTTTCCATAGGCATGGGGGCTAGGAGGTCTGGCACCTCCCGCGATGCTCGCTGGTCTGGCAGTGTGGTTCTCTGATATACTTCCCCACAGTGGACTTCCCTCCCTGCTTACTGTCCACCCCATCCAATCTGGCCTGTCCCTGAGGGCAGACAGGGATGCCAGCACCTTAGGGGGAATGGAAGGGAGAGTGAGGTGAAGATGATCCGAGGGGCCAGCCCTCCTATATGACCTGATCCCAGTGACCCTCTGACCTCACACCCCTCAGGTAACCTCCCTGCTCCCCCTCTCCTAAAACTGCACCCAGGCTTCTGTCCCCTCCCCAAACTCAGGGTCCCCGTCCAGTCAAGCCTCCTGGCACTGTCCAAAGGCTCAGAGGACGGGGAGCATGCTGGTGGACAGAGCCATGGAGGTAAACACCAACATCTTTATTTGATTGGGGTGGTGGGGATGAATACTCTTTTGAACAATATAGAACAGCTTTATGGTTTACTTGTCCCAAGATGGGAGGAATAAAGTTACTACCCCAGGATCGGTGGCCAGCCGTGGGCCAATGCCTTGACAGGCCCAGCCTGGGGTCCTGGGTAGAAGGGCTGACCCCAGGCTCTGCCCTGCCTTGTCAGCCTGGACAACTACAGGACTGTGGGCCCCTCGACATTCCCTCAGACTCTTCATGGGGGTTCAGGCAGGCGAGCGAGAGGTCAAGTTGGGGCTGTGCCAGGGTCTCCTGGCGGCTCCAGGTTAAGGCATCTGTTCGTGTGCTGGGTCCAGGGGGCAGAGTGTGAGCTGTGGGGCAACCTGAGACCCCCCCAGCCCAGCCCACTTTGACTGGAACTCCAGGGGGGAGGCGGGGAAGGAGTGGCAGCTGAAGGGCAAGGAGACTGGGTGATAGATGAGACACTTCTGGGAGGTCCCCCCCATGTGGGGGTATTGGACCCTGGCAGCAGGTGGGGATTTCCTGAGGTGGGTGGACACAAGGTCATGGACTGCACTGGGCTGGAAGTGGGTGAGGTGCAGCTGGTAGGAGAGTGGAATCCCCAGCCCACACCCAGTCCTGCCCCAAGGTCTGCAGCGGCCTGGCCTCATGGGTACCAATCGGGCCTGTCCCTGGACTGGGAGCACCCCTACTTGGAATCCCGCTCTGGCCACGAAAGGCTGGGGAAAAGGCTGGAGGAGACCGAATGGAGGAGGCAGACAGCCTCGCGCTGAGTCACCCCGGCAGCCGAGCTCCAGGGGGCCCGCAGTGGGACGCGGTCCTCAGGGCGGCCCAGGTGGCACAGGTGCAGGCCGGGTGGCCCCCTGGGCTGGCCAAGCCGCCCCCATCCACGGCTGCAGGCGCCGATCCGCCCCCTGTGGGCCGCGGCGTCCCGTGAGAAAGAAGCAGAAAGATGAAGGTCAGCATGGGGCAGGGTGGCCCACCGCTGGGATCCCCCCACCATGCCTTCCACACTGGGTCAGGACTTGGAGAAGTTCGGAGTCCACCCTCTGTCCTCCGGTCCCGCATTCTGGAAGCTGTGACTTCTTAATGTCCCTTCCCACCCCTGCGCCCCTAAAATTTGCCAGGCAGAGGTGGGAGGACAGCCCCAGGGGCCATTTCGGCAAGACTTGGCAGCATCCCCCACAGGGCCTTGAACCAGCAGGTGGCCCCACACTCATCCTGCTGTTCCATCTCCTCCCCAAACCTGAGGTCCTCTGTCCCTGCCTTTCCCCCACCTACCCCACCACACCCCCAGCCAAGGTAGCCGCAACCCAGCCTTTCACCGATGCGCTGTCACTGGTATGAACAACAGAGCTGGTAATGAAGCAAGTCCTTCCCATGGCCACCATTCACCTTGATGCCAGCCCCATATCAGCAGGCCACCTTCTGGGGCCCACCCACCACACTGGGACCCCCAGGCCTCATCACAGCCTGGCTTTGCCCAACGAAGGAATTCAATGACTCTTTTCCTTTTTTTTAATAAAATTATAGATATATAGATGTAGATATAAAAACATAAAACAGACACAACGCAAGCAGACGCTGTCGTGTGCTTACTCTAGAGCCCCGACACCCAAGAAGTGCTTGGCCCCTGCAAACCCATCACGTGCTTTCCACATAGGCGCCCGTGGGTTCTGAGGGGTAGAGCCTGGGTTTTGGCATGCTATGCAGTGGGACTTGTCCAGTTTGGCAGGGAGGGAAGGAGGGGTTGGGTTGGATCCCTGGTGTCAGCGGCCTCAGGGCGGCATCAGCCTCCCAAGTCCGAACCCACCTACTCCCGACTGTCTCCCACAAGAGCAGAGGTTAAGGCTTCAGTGGATGCATTTCCTGGCAGCGGGCAGGGCAGCAGCAGCTGGGTGGGAACATGGCATAGCAGCTCAGCACACAGACACAGGGACACACGCCCACCAGCTGGGGTGAGACTGCACACATGGAGCGGGGACCCCCACCACAGCTACTGGATGTCAGAACCCAGAGCTGTCCAGTGAGAAGACGGGGGCTGGACTCCCTGCAGAGCAGCAGCTGTACAAGCTCCCATCTCCAGCAGAGTCTGAGAAAGGCAACATGTAGGAGCAGTGGGCCGTGTGGGAAACTTGGCCCAGCGGCCCACAGCCAGTCTGAGCCATCTGTAAGGGGAGTGGGTAGGGCCAAGACTGTTGGGAACTGGCCTGGTGATCACCTCAAGGGACAAAGTGATGGTGTTGGAGTCAAGCCTGGTGGAGGGAGGAGGCCACAGGCCAGGCCCACAGATCCACCGTGCTTGGAGTCTAGTCTCCCAAGGAGAGCAGACGGGTGGTGGGCAGACAGAGGGCCCAGGGACAAGCTTGTGGAGGTGTTCTCTCTCCTACTGACGTGTCCACACAAGGTGTGGGCAGAGAAGATGGGGTTGGGCTGCCTCTGTGGGCTCCCGGTCCCCATGATGCTGTGGCAGGCAGGTGGCGGGCAGTCCTCACACCGAGATCTCATACGTGGTTCCCCCAACGCCGGACACCTTCTTAACGAGCGTGTGCCGGACGGGACTGGCGGAGGGTCCTGGGGGGCCGGCAACAGGCCCCAGGCGGGCCAGGCCTGGGGACTGCCCATTAAGCTTACTTGGGGGGGTCTTCAGCTGAGGGTGGTCCCTGCATCAAAACAAGCACACACACACACAGGCACAACCGTGAACAAAGGACCACAGCAGGGACAGGCAGACAGGAGGCAACAGGACATCAAACAGACTCAGACACAATCACAGGCTCTGTAGGACCCTGGGAAGTCCTTGTCCTGAGTTTCTGTGGTCTTACCCGGAAATGAAGGGGGGCTGCTCGGTCACAGAGCAGAAGGACAAGCCTCGGCTCAGTCCAGTGCCTCCAGAGACCAGCCAGGATGTCAAAAGAGCTATCACCATTAGTTTCCCGACCCTGTGGTCCCTCCTCACAGACCACAGAGAACCCAGTAAGTCAAGTGGACTGAGTTGAGGACCTAGGGGTGATCCTGGCTGACCTCCCCCAAGACCTCAGGAAAGAGAGTCTATGCTCCAGCCTGCCAGTGTTGACCAAGGGAGTTCTGACCATCTTGGGCTCCTGAGACCCACATTGGGCCCTCAGGCTCTTTGACCCCCTCCCATAACATGGACCACCCACAGCTGCACATCCAGTCCCTTCTTGGCCGTGTGGCCTCAGCCTCCACCTCAGCCCACCCTCAGGTCTGCCAGGCCGAGAAGCGGTGTACATCCAGAGTGGTGCTTGGCACAGTCCCACAAGCAGGGCCGGCATCCCCACTGGGGGCCTGGTCCCAGCTTCAGTTTCCCCATCTGTGGGCAGGGCTATATGGTCTACCCAGGGCACACAGCAGGCAGGCCCAGGAGAGGCCTGAGCAGGCTCCCCGGGTTGGGTACAGGTACAGCCCCACCCTCACTGCATGCCCCAGGGCCTTTCCCTGCACGTTCCACATCACCTGGAGAGAATGCAGGTGCTGGGCTCAAGACGTGCCTGGGGGTCCTGGAAAAGGGTCACCTTGTCCCCTTCATTGATTTACAACACAGGCTGCCCAGGAGCCTTTGAGATGGCGGGAGGTCTGCTCACCCCAACACAGCCCTGAACCAGAAGCCGAAATGGGCCTCCCCAGCCCATGCCCAAGGGCTTGGTCAGCCAGCCACCGGCAGCTGGGGATCCCCTCACCACAACCCCTGGCACACCCACCTCTGCATGGTCAGTGAGGGCGGCGTCTCGGGAAGATCCGCATGGATGAAGGAGACAGCTTTGGGGCCTGCGTAGGAGGGTGAGCGTGGGGTGCTGGGTGGGGAAGGTGGTCCATGGCGTGCAGGCGACCTGTGTGGGCCGCTGCTTGGCCGGGGCCCTGGGGCATGGCAATTGGCCAGGTCGGCCTGCAGAGATGAGGAAGATGTCCTGGGCGCCCGGCTCATCGTGCTAGACAGGGAGGACAGTGAGGTCTGCAGAGCGGGGTTGCGGGCCCCCCCAAAACCAGGCCCTGACATGAGGTCGTCCCTGGAGCTGTAGCGCATTGGGGTGCCGCGGGGGCCCTCTGACAGTGCACTGGCCTGCTGCAGGCTGTAGGAGCTGGGTGCATCATAGACGCCTGAGTCGCCAAAGAGCGAGTCGGCCTGGGAGCGTAACAGCCGCTCGCGTTCCTCCCTGTCCTTGCGTTCCTGGATGGAAGCCATGATGGTTCTGGACAGGTTGTCATAGCGCACGGGTGACGGCTCCCTTGGCCGGGGCCCCAGCATGGGGCTGAAGCTGCGGGGTGGGGGCCGGGGAGGCTCACCCACAGCTCCCGGGTGCAGGTAGGAAGAGCGGTAGCCAGCCACCCCGGCTGAGGGGTGGGCAGGACAAGTGTGGCCCCCAGGAGAGGCGGGGTTGAGCAGGCTATCATAGGATAGGCTGCCATTGCGGTTGGGCAGTGAGTGGGGGGCAAAGAGGCCTCGGTGGGGCGTGGGGGGCCCGCCCTCAGCCTGTAGGGGCTGCAACGCCATGTGGTCCCCACCCCGCCGGCCTGCAGCCTTGAGGCTCAGAGTTCGCAAGGCGCCTGAGAAGGCATCAGCGGCGCTGAGCGGAGGGGACGGGGGGTAGGCTGTGTGCAGGTCACCGGGTGAGTAGTTGGGGAGGTCCAGGCTGGGCTCAGATGTAAAGTCCAGGCTGTGAATGCTGTCATCCCCCAAGGTCAGGGAGTCCGGCCCTGGGATCTGCAGGAGAGGAGGCACAAGTCTACCTACTACCTACCTGCCACCTTGCTGGCTGTGGATGACACAGTATCCTCCCCATGTCCTCCTGCCTCTCTGCCCAGGTGGTGGCTACAACTCTGCTGACAGGTAAACTGTGTGGCAGCCTCCAGACCTAAACTCGAGTCTGTCCGCAGCCACTTCTCCCAGCCCAAGGAAGTTAGGACAGGGCAGAGGAGAACAGGAGAGGCTGTGCCAAGGCTGTGGAGGTGGGCAAGCCAGAGGTCTCATAGTCACATGCCCAGGGTGCACAGTAGTATCTCAAGCCACGCCTGATCCCTACCAGCCAGAGAGTAGGGAGCTAGTTGTACAGCAGGAGCAGGAAGCACCCAGGCCCTGCACTCAGGGCAGCCACAGCACACGGGGAGGAGGGCTTCCTAGATATTCTGGGATACACAGGCCTGGGCTCGGGGCAAGAGTCCATGGAGCCTCAAAATCTGAGGGTGTGCAGATGGGGAGAGTGGGCCAACATGGTTCTGCACACTTGGCCATCCTCTGTGGGAGCCAGGACAATCCCAAGGAGGAGATGGAGCCTAAAGCCTGACCCCTGCTGTGAAACACAGGGAAGCCCAGAAGAGCAAACACATGCGGACCAGGGGAGGGGAGGGCCCAGCTGTCTCATGGAGTTCCCAGGGCAGCTGAATGCCCTATCATGAAAGTACAGGAAAAAGAATGGCTCTTTCTCAAATTCCAAATTCTTCAGAAGTCTCCCTGTGGGCCTTACAGAGTGACTCAGGACGGAATTCTAGGCATCCTCCTGGAGGCGGCTGCCTACTGAGCCTACAGGCGACACAGCTAATGGAGGGACGATTGGTGCCAGCCCACCCAGGCCCTGCTTGCCCTCCTTTGTCCACCCTACACCACCAGGTGGGGTCCTACAGGCACCCACAGCCTGTTTCCTGATAGGGACAGGCCTGCCTCACCTGCTCTCCCTGGCCACAAAAGGGCGCCGTGGGGCCCGTGGAGAAGGCAGGCCGGAACTTGTACATGGCTGGTGTTGGGGGGCTGGGCCTCTGTGCAGACAGGGCACTTTCTGTGTAGATGGATGGTGGTCAGATTGGGGCTGGATGGATCACCATTCCACACACACCCCATGCCCATTGGGCCACCCCCACCTCACCAGCACTGCCCCGTCGTGGGGTCTGCAGGTCGCTGCTAAAAGTGCCCGCCTCTACCTTCGGGGGCAGAGATGGTCCCAGGTCCATGGGCTTTTCATCCAGCTGATCCAGGTTGCCCTTGGACTGGGAGAGGTTGGGATCGGGTGTGGGCAGGATTGAATGAGACGCGGAGCTTAACTGGGGGGCTCCTTCCCAGGAGTCACCCAGCCCCCCCACCCTCCCACCTCTCCTGTTACTGTTCTTTGCCGCTGAGTCTATTCTGACTTGTGACACCCCATGTGTACAGAGTAGAACTGTGCTCCACAAGGTTTTCTGGGCTGTGGTGTTTTAGAAACAGATTGCCAGGCTTGTCTTCTGAGGTGCCTCTGGATGGATTAGAACAGATAACTCTTAGCTAGTCAGTGATGATTTCGCCTACCTCTTCCACACCCCTGCAACCTGCCTGGCTCCTTGCTCCCTGACTCTGACTCTCACCTCACTTCTTACCCACCCCAGGTCGCTCACCTTGCTGCGGCCCAGGCTGGCCTTCAGCCCATTGTCGCTAAGCTTGACCTTGAGTGGCATGCCTCGCTCCAGGAGCTCGGGCCGGAGAAAGGGTGGCTTCAAACTCACAGTGAGTGGCAGTCGAGGTGGCTCCACCATGTACCTGTACAGGGCAGGGGTCAACAGCCCACCCAAACACCAAGGCTAGAACGAATCAGGCTCAAGGGTCCTGACTGCCCACTCCACCCCCCAGCATGGATCCCTTGCCAGTCTGCCTGCCAGGTCTCACCGGGGTGCCAGGGGGCTGCATAGCACATGCTCCACGTTCCCAAAGCAGCCTCGGGTAAAGGGGTTCACACCCCCACGAAACTTTCCTGTCACCTGCAGATACAAGGTGGACCCCTCAGTCAACCTGGCCATCAAATGTCAAGAACAGGGCAGAGAGGTGGAAAGCAGAGTCAGCCCTGGGAAGCCGAGCCCACCCTACAAGGAGGGGTGGAGCCTCCAGACCCTGAATCTCTGCTGGTGGAGTGTCCAGAGTCAGGGGGGCACAGGAGGCAGGACAGAAGTCTCCTCCCATCAGAGATGCCCAGGCCAGCCAGCTGAGGGTAGCACCCACACCCATCCCCGGCCATGCAGTCTGCACCTGTTCATTGGTGGTGCGCCCCCGCGTGACCAGCACCACGTGGAAGCCGGTGAGACCGATGACAGGGATGAAGAAGAGGCCAGCCACACACATGACAGCCATTCTGGCCCGTTAAGGCCAACAGCATAGGGAGGACGTGGGGGACCCCATGGTGGGTGGGACAGAGCAGATGCCTACAGACAAATCCCCCACCTGCCTGCCCACCCAACTAGGGACCGGAGCACCCCCCTCTGAGCCCCAGATTCGTGTCCCTTGGTCTGCTGCTGAATTTTGGCTGAGAGCGTGGGGGCCAAGGATACGTGATGGTGGTGTGGGCGGCTCCCAGGCCCTCAGAGTGGTTCAGCACATAGACAAGGCCGAAGGCCACGACGCCCACCATGTGCGCACTGAGCGATAGCAGGAACAGGAAGAAGTAACGGTAATTGCGGCGCCCAATGCAGTTGTTGACCCAGGGACAGTGGTGGTCAAAGTCCTGGTTGGGAGTAGAGCGTCAGGGAAATCCCACAAGAGGGAGCTCCACAGGGGTGAGGGTTGGGGGGACATAGGGTAGAGGACAAAGTTGAGAAAGGGCTACAGGCCAGGCTGGGCAGGTGGCAGATGATCACCTCTACGCAGTTGTCACAGACGCTGCAGTGGGAGCAGCGGGGTGGGCGGTAGAAGTGGCACGTGGCACACCACTTCATGCGGACCTGGATACCCCTCACATCCACATTCTTGTACAGCGGGGCCCGGAAGTCGTCTTCCTTGTCCTCGTCCTCGTCCGCTGCAGACCAGAGGGGCAGGGAGGTGACTTCCTAGGTAGAGAAGCTACTCCTCACTCTCCTCCAGGTCCCCCAGTCAGGCCATCCCTAAGGGTCTCCCGTGTCAATCACTCACATTCTAGCAAAAGGAGATGAGCTGCCCTGGCAAGGGGCCCTACCTCGTGGGAAAACACCAGGGTCCATGAAGGTGGCCATGCTGAAATTGGCCAGGACAAAGAGGAAAATGATGCCATTGTAGACAGGAACTGCTGGGGACACAGCTCGTGTCAGCCACGGGCACCTGTAGTGGACAGCAAGCAGAGAGCAGGATGGGGGTGCAGGAGGGTATTAGGAGGGCTGTGTAGAAGGATTTGTCCGTGTGTGTAGGCTGCCACCTCAGCCTAGAGGTCTGCCATGTGTTCACTCAGCCACAAAGGCGATGTTTGTCCCCAAGGGCCAGTTCTGATCCAGGAAGCCACTTCAGAGGTGCACACGCTGTTAATGACTCAGCACACTGCTGAGGAAAGTGAGGCTTGGAAAGGCCAATGGGTCTGGGTGTCACACTATCCAGGAGGGGATCCCACAGCGAGGCCACATCTCAACCTTACACTGGTGGTGGGGCTGGGCAAGATCCTTGACCCTTCACAAGATGCACTGCCTGTGCGCTAGGGTGACCTGTCCTCAGCTCAACAAGAGCCCCCCATCAGGGAGATCCTGGGGTGTGAGGAATTCTGGAAGCCCCCAATCCTTATACGGTAAATGAGTGGGCGTCACTCCTGGTCTACTTTGGGCTACTGTCCCCTTAGTCTCCAGTGCCCCAGCAACTCCAGAGAAGTGGAACTCACTACTGCTTCACATCCTTTCATCACCTGATTTCCAGTGCACCCCCTCTCCTCAAAGCCTTCCTGGGCTTTTCCGTGCAGCCTGCCGTTCTGGTTGGGCATAGCTCCCAGGGCGGCAGGGGGGAGGGGGTCACTCTGCTGCCACTCTGCTCCTAGAAACCCCTTGACCTCTCATGGCCTCCACGTTTCCTCCTCCAGTTCCTGGATGAACCTGCGGGCCCAAATAGCTCTGCCTTTCTGAGGAGCAGAGGGGTCTAGGGGTCTGTCCCCTGCTATGAGCCCCTCAGCGGCTCCACTGATGGGGACATGCCCTGGCATGCTGTCCACGCCGGCACCCATGCCTGCTTTGGCCAGAAGCCAGCCATGCGCCTGAGCAACCGTGTTCCATGCAGCAGAACGTCGCTATTTTTAGTGAAAAGCAAAAGGCTATTTAAAGACTCTACTTCCCACGGCAGCACACCCAGCGGGGCGGGAGTTATCCCTGCTCTTTCTCCCAGGCCCAGCCTCAGGAGGTGAGAGGTGGGCACACACAGGAGGACACGAGGCTTCCGCCACACAGTCCCCACTGCCAGGAGCACTCTGCCTCTGTCACCTCTGCCCTGGTCCCTAGAGATGTTTTTCCACACTCCCCATCCTGTGGGCTGATGTGTCTGTGGCAATTCAGTAAGGAGCCGTTGGGCCCCTGCAGGGGTCTACACAGCAGGGCAGGAGGCATCGGTTTGGCAGGGAGGCAAGACGCCCCCAACAGGGAATGGGGCAAGCCCACCTAAAAGAGCCGATCAGTGCAAGTGGCCTTGCCACATTCCTCTGGAAAGGACTGGCTATGAAGCTCACACAAAGTAAAACTTCAGGCCACTTCCTGAAACCAGATGAGGAATTTCGAGATCAGGGCAGCAGGGCAATGAACTACAGGTGCCCCTTCACACTTGGGACTGCATGCCCTGGTGGAGGACGGGATGAATAAGCAGACACCTGGCCTAGCCTCTGCTGGACTCAGAGTGTGGCTGTTTGCTGGCCTACTCAGCACATCCCACCCTCGCAGACACTGCTCTCTTTGCCCACATTTTGCAGACAAGAGGAGGAGGTTTTGAGGGCTTAGTCACACACCTGGGACCTTGAGCTGGGCTGTGCTTCCTAACCCTTGAGACCTGTAGGGGCACACATACAGGTGGAGCTGAACCCCATGTGCAAACTCCCCACACTCATCAGTACTCATGGCACACAGGCCCAAGCAACCTGTACCCTTTACCCTGGGTTTCCCCCCTGGAACCTGCCTGGGTAGGTGGGACAGCAGTGAGGCCTGCAGCATTGTGATCAAGTGATTCCTGTTTGGGTGTGTAGGGTGGTCTCTTTCCATCAAAGGCTCATCAAACCAGGAGAAGGCAGCAGAGGCTTGTAGGGAGGGGCCCCCAGTCCTCTGTGACTTGAAGCCCTCCTTGCACCCCTGCCCAGCCCCCTGCCATCCCTAGTGCCCTAGGCACAACTGAAACCAGGACCAAGGGCTCCCATGCTCTTATCCCCTTCCCTACCCTTCAGGGGTGTCATACTAGAGCTCCAAGCACTAAGTCCCTAAATTCAACTGCTTCAGGAAACGTGTGTAGACGAAACAGTGGACATTCATGGGCAAAGACATGCACACACATACATGTATGAACACACGTACACAGGAGCCTGTGCATATACACAAGCACCCAATCACACACTCACCAAGACAAGGATACACATGTGCAGATGCACTATGCACAGATACGTACGTACAGCCATATAAGGGAGCTTCAAAAAGTTCAGAGGGAAACGGAACTAAAAGATCATGGAATATTTCCATGAACTTTCTTAAAGTTCCCTCTAAAGACAGGTAGACCTATGCACATATGGACAGCCCACTCAAGCCCACATACATAAACACACAAACGCAATTAAGACACCCAGTGGTAAGACATACTCCATGTGTGAACACATACATGTATATAACCATGCCCATGTGTGCACAATGGTGCACACACAAGACCACACATATGTGGGAACACATGCTCTTTTGGACAGTGGCATACACTTCACACATGTGAACAGACACATATGCGGGTGGACCTCCACCCTCTGCACTCCCAGACATGCGCCCAGCACACACCTTGGGCAGGCTCTCAGATTCTCTGGACCCCTCCTCATACCCAGCAAGCCCACCAACCAGGGAGTGCTTAGTTCATATCTGCTCTGGGGAGGGCTACCCTGAGAAGGCCCCCTGTCCCTCAACCCTGAGTCTGTCAGATCCAAGTCCTCAGATAGACAAGGCCACAGGTCTTCTGGGCTGTGATGGGACATCAGGCCTGCAGGATATGCCCTGCCCCAGACCCCTACCAGGCTGGGGGGGAGGCAGCAGTCTTCTCCTGTCACTCTCTCCCACAGGCCAGGCTGCAAGTCAAAGGAAGTTTCAGCTCTGATATGCCGGGCCTTCCCCCCTAACCCACCCACCCACCGTCCGCTCCCCAATGTCAAGGCCACGGGTCAGGACACGTGCCACGGACAGGGGCCCCACCCAAGTCAAAGCCCTGAACCTTGCCTGGCTGGGGAAGGGAGATGCCACCCAACTGCTGGGAGGGAGGTGCTTGACAGGGGTAGCCTGTGTGTCACAGCTAAAAGTGGAACGGAAAATTTTAAATCAGACGTTTCCGTTGAAATCAGGGCTTTCATTAACACTCTTTACGTTTGAGAGTGGTGCTTCCCCCAGGGAGCTGTTCACAACCAGTGGAGCAGCGGTCTGTCTTGGGCTGCTGCTGGGCAGGGCCTCTGGCTGCAGCTCCAGGGCACTCAGCCACCCATCTGACCCCTACAGATACCCTGGGAAAATGGGGAAACTGAGGCTCCAAAGGGCCACACACAGCTAGTTCCATGAGGGAGAGTCCATAGTTGTTTCCAAATGCAGGTACCACCTCCCCATGTGGCCCCAGTCAGTGGTTCCCTGCACCTGCTGGGGTCATTGTTTGTGGAATGAACTGGGAACCAGCCAACCTATCCTAGCAGCCTGGCCATGTTGCATCCAACATCCAACATCCAAGACAGACTGCTGACATTCAGTGGGTATCCATCAGTCATTATGCTGAGAGTGCTCTGTAGGAAGTAGGAGCAGGGCAAAGACTCTGCCTGGAGACCCTCAGAGCCAGCCCAGCACCTGGCCAGCCTGGTAATGTACCAGTGTACAGGGCAGCTGGAATCCAGGAAGACATCTAGGGGAAAGAGGTTCCCTGGAAGCCCACCTGGTGGTGTGCACCCCAGGGTGAGAGTAGGAAGAGGGGTACCCCCTATGGACATCCTTCTGGCATCCAGAGCCTTTTGGGGCCCTACTGGTCCTACCCCCAATAAGACAGACTCCCACCTTGAGTGACCCAGAGACTACCACCTGCATAGGCACCTGTCAACTCAGCACAAAGGAGGCACCTGGGACTACCACAGTGCGGACAAATGCAGAAGCCCACGAAGGAGGCAGGAGTCCTTAGCAGTCAGAGGGCTGAGGGCTCCCAATTCACTGTGTCCACCCTATCCCCTAGCAGAGTCCATGTCCCAGGAGTTGAGCCATCTCAGAGGGGCCATTCAGCCAGGAGAACTGTGTGGGCCCAGGAAGCAGGGCTGGCTGGGGTCAGGATACAGGGGAACCCTGAACCAAGGGGTGAATGGAGCTCTTGAGGTTCTGGTAGATGACCACTGCACACCCTCCACAGGACAGAGCCCCTTCTTCTAGACACATGTCAGTCGAGCCCAAAGCAGGCATATGCAAGGCTGGGAGAGGTGCAGGAGTACTCCCACACCTAAACAGCACTGTGCCTTTGAAACTGGAACCCCAGCTTCCAGGAACAAAGTTAAGGGAAGAAATGCCATGTGGCAAAGTGAGGCCAATATTTGTGGGCAGGTTAAGTTCTGAGGGAATAGTCATGTGACAGTCCCTCAGGTGCCACAAACAGTGTTTTAAACATCTGGAATCAATAGAAGGGATCAGGCTAGGGAGCCAACAGGCATACTCCAGCATGGCCCCAGGAGGTGCCACGGGGAGCCCAGGAAGAGAGGAGCCAGTCGCAGGAACCCAGATAGGGGTGCAGTGGACTCTAATTGCTTAAAAAAAACATCTCCCCATCTCAGTAGAGAACACGAGTTAATTTTAAAGTCTGGGAAAAAGAAGCTGAATAGCATTTGAGGAGTGACAAACCGAAACAGACTAGTCAAGGGACCACTGGGAACACCACCAAGACGTCCACCTTCAAGACTCCCACACTTTCTACCTGGCCTCTGGGACAGGACCAGAACTGGGTGGGATACCCTTCCTCCAAAAGCCCCAGCAGGACCCGTTCCCCTTGGCCTGTAGCCCTAGGACCTGCTTCCCAGATCCCACCCACCACTGTTCCTCTCCTTTCCCCAGCCTCCAGGGGCCAGCAGAATCTGTGTGACAAGAAACATGCCTGCTTGTCCAATCCAGAAATAAGCCCATCCACACAGGCCTTTTTTAAACACACTCTCAAAGTCTTCAGCGCCCACCCCAGGGTTCCTACCTCAGTTCACACTCACTCTTGCTAAAGTGAGAGGGGACCCCGCCCAGGCAGCTTCAAACTCACTCACTCAGTCACTGCCTCAGGGTACATGCCTTCTAGCTGTGGGCACCCCGCCCCCCACCCCTGCCCCCACCAAGGCCTCAGTCCCCAGGAAAGCTGTCAGTCTAGCCCCTGGGCTCCTCCTTGGCTGTATGGAGGAGGTGGTTGTAGGTCTTCAAGGTTGAAGCCGGGAGTCCCTTCACCCTCTTCTCATGCCTGAATGATCCTGGGGTTGGGAAACACCACAACCACAGCGAGGTTTCCTTGTCTGCATTGCCAAGGAAATGGTCTGCAAGCCAGTCCATTTCTCAGATACAGAGTTGAGGCTGGATGGCCCAGGACCATGCCTACCCTTTGCCCCAATCCTAAAAGCTGATCTCACGAGGGGTCCAGTACCCTGCCCCAGAACCAAAATTCCCAAGCCAATTCCACTGTTGTTGAGTGGATTCCAACTCAGCCACCCTGTAGGGCAGAGTAGAACTGCTCAGTTTCCAAGAATGTCAATCTTTACTGAAACCAGCATGCTCATCTTCCTCCCGTGGAGTGGCTAGTGGGTTCGAACTAGTAGTTCCGTGATTAACCCTCGATGCCACCTACGCTCCCTTGCCCCAGGACAGGCTGTACAAATCTATCCCTAGGTGTGGCCTGGCCTAGACTCTGCAGTGTGGCCATAGGAGGGCAGAGGGCCCAGTACACTTCACCCACCCACGTCTGAGGGGCAGGCACGTGTCACCAAGTCCACACCTACACGGCACATCTGGGCTTTGGCCCAGGCCAGGCAGCCTGGGGACTCCTTGCAGAGAGAGCTGGTGGCTCAGGGCGCCCACGTCCCCGTGGGGGTGTGAAGAGCTGTAGCCACACCCTGGGAGGCTACTATACACAGAGCCTCACACCCAGGACCTGCCTGGCACCTTGGGGAGGGGCCTCTGTTGCCTCCCTGGGAAGGGCGCAATCACAGCCTAGCTAGTCTGCCCATTACAGGAACTCCCGTCCGGCCCAGTCCCTTGTCCCCCATGCCCGCCGCCCACCCAGCTTGGACTCACGTGAACACGAAGAACAAGGTGCTGGAGCCGACAAGCAGCGCAGCGGCGGTGGCCACCGGGATGTACTTGGCGGGTTTGAGGCGCGTCCCGGGGCTGCGGGGCATCCTGGGCGCCGCGCCGCCGCATCCCTCCCCAGCGCCGGGCAGCCGGGCGGGTAGGACGCGGCGCAGGACCCAAGGCGACTGCAACGGCAGAGGAAATCCCACCCCACGGGCGGCGGCGACGGCGGCGCCGCGCTGATGTCAGCACGCCCCTTAAGGTGGCGCAGGCGACTGCGGACCCACTAGGGGACACCCGCGCCCTGCCAGGCCCCGCCCCGCGCACGCGCCTTCTGGCCTCGTCGGTGACCCCCGCGTCGCCCCTTCTCCACGACAGGCCACAGGATCACTGATCGTCGCATACTTCCCAGCTCCGGGTCTCTTCTGCTGTGTTCTTTGCTCCTGGGCAGGGAAGCCCCTCTTCATCACAGGTTCTTAGCTTTCTCCAGGGTGACAGGGTGAGAGAGGTGACACAGCAGAGACCCCTTGTGTGTCCATCTGTGTCCACCTGCCAGCTCTCAAGTCACTCAGTGGACACAGTAACCTAGGGGTGACCAGGCAGTGAGGGGCAACTGGGAGAGGGCTGCTGCATTCAGCCCACATTGCAGGGTGGTACATGGGAGGATTGTGTGGGTGGGAGACCCCAGGCATGGGAGTGAGCACGGGTATTCTCCCTGGGGAAGTAAGGGGCCAGGCTCCCCACTAGGAACACTGGCAGGTTGACCAGCCTGCAGCAGGAAATCCCACCCACTGCTGCCATAGCTTAAGGTGGACCTGCGACCTTGCTGGGACTGGAATACACACACACACACACACACACACACACACACACACCCCTAGCCTGCTAGACCATCACCATGCCCCTTGCCTGAAGGGCCTGATGGCTGAGACCTGGGTCAATTGGCTGGTCCCTTAGCCAAGTCCTGCCATTCCCTGGGGGACCCTGTTCACAGAAACCTCACCCTCCCTGGTCCTTGTACACTCCTCTGCAGTTAGGACCAGTGTGACCCCATTGGTCACTCCTCCTGTGTATTGCCAGGGATGCTGGGGCTCCCTGGCCTGGGGCCCCTTCCCTATCTCAGCTCCCAGTAAAGGCAACCCTAGGGGATCAGGGAAGCACAGACAAAGAGGTGAGTTTTTCTCATTACCATCCTGGTGACTGGTCACAGTCCCGTGAAGGGAGGCTTATACTAACAGGCACTCTGAGCAGTGGAGCAGGCCCCAGGCCATGAAGGTGAGCAGAGACTACCCATAGATGTCCTTGAAGGCTAGGAAACACAAAATTAAAAGGCCACACATAAAATTGCTCCAAAACTGGGGACATGACCTGTCCTCTTCCCCACAGTCTGGCACACACAAGCTCCAGGCCTCCAGGAAATCCCACACCCCCAGTGGGCTCCCCAAAGGAAACAGAGCCCCTGGATACAGGTCTGCAAGGTGGATTCAGCTTACTTCCCTGGGCTGAGGGTCCTGGACATCATGCCCCCACGGTGAGAGCCCTCTTCTCCAGGGCAGCCTGGCTGGCAGCGAGGGTAGACCTGGCTACCACCCAGCACGAGGCCATGGTCGTTGCCTTCCAGATGGAGGATCATACTGGGGCCGAAAACCAGTGGGCTAGCTGAACTGGGCCACTTGGCAAGACCTCATTGAATCAGTGCCACCCAAGGCTGCTGCAAACCCTACAGCCCAGCTCCCTTGCCATGGAGCAAGGAAACCCAGCCAAAAGCATCTCCAATCCATGACCCATCAACACTTCTAGGCTCAATTTTTATAGTATCTTGTCCTGTTGGGGCACTGCAGGATAAGCACTAGACCGCAAGTTCAGTTTGAACCAAAAGGGCAGTGATTCAAACTCACCAGCCACTCCTCAGAAACCCAATAGAGGGCTGCTGAGTTGAAACCAATTCTGACAGCACTTATCAACAGATAGCTGTTAGTCTTGGTGTAATGCAGGTTAAACACTGGACTGCTAACCGCAAGACAGTTAAAAATACCAGCGGCTCCTTGGAAACCCTAAACATGGTCATTATTATGAGTTGGCATCAACTCAACTGCACCACTTAAGCACAACAGACAGCTGCCAGAGTCCTGGTGTGGTGCTATAGAACAACCATAAGGCTGGCAGTTCAAACCCTATACAGGGTCGGAGTCTGAACTGACTGGCACATAACAAAACAGCTGTTAGGGGCATTTTGGGTACATCACCCTCTAAAGGCATCCACCTACATACAGCTTTGTCCTTCCTGCTTGTCCTGGGACTGCTAGGGCCTAGGAGAGGAGTCCTTACATATCATCTCTTGTCCTGTCCCCATGTGTAACTTTCTGTAAGCTATTTCAGAGTGAGCAAGCTCACGTCAGTATACCCAGCAATCAATATCTGGTGGCACTGTGGGTTATTTGTTGGGCTGCTAACTATAAGGTCAATGGTTCAAACCCATCAGCTGCTCCATGGGAAAACAATAAGGCAGTCTGTTTCTGTTAAGATTGGCAGCCCCAAAAACCCTAAGAAGCAGTTTACTCGTCCTATAAGGTGGATTTGGGTTGTTTGGGTGTCATCTCTCCCATCATCCCAAGGGGCTGATGTCCAAGTCCCCCCACCCCCACCTTGGAGACCTATTTAACCACCTGACACAAAGGAGGAAGTCCAGGAGTTACATGGATGTGATGTTTATTTTATGGGAATACAAAACCAGGCCAGGGGGTTACAACCACCATTCTCTGCTGACAAAGTTGATCCCACCCCAGGCCCCCAAGTGCCTGCTGGCTTGTAGGCACAGTCCAAGTCTCTAACGGAGTGTGACTGTCACAGATTCGCAGGATAAGGATGTAGCATCACAATTCTGTGTCCCTAAGATAGCACCTCAAAGCACCCAGCATCTCAACACATCTTCTGTGTGGGACATACTGTTCACCAGATCCAAGGGAGACCATGCCATGACGCCCAGGCACACAATGCAACACAGATGGCCAGGGAGCCTTCCGCCAGAGGTGTGAGGTGTTGAAGCCAGAGTGAGGCTTAGTTGGGAGCAGGGAGACCCTGTGAAGCACCTCTGGCTCATGGCCACAGAGTACAACTGGAGTATGAGGCCCTCTCAGGTCTACAGCACCTCTCACTGGAAGATGGGCCAGTCTGTCCCTGGAACACCCCTCTCACCACCACCAGGGCAGGGTGGCCAGGACACACATTCTTGCACTCCAACAAAACCAGAGTTGTGAAAGTGCCTCCACACCAACTATTCTTCCCAACTGGTAGATGCCTAGAGACAAACCCAGTTACCATGGCACCAAGGGTTTTTTCCCCTAGGGCAGTTCCCACCCCCCACCCCTCAATCAACATCCCAGGAGAGGTGCTTATTGTGGCTTGTGACAGAAGACCTGTGTGACATGGGGCTGGCCAAAGCACATCCCCAGGCCCACCTGTTAGCTGTTCTAATGGTCTTCCAATTCTTCTCTGCCCAGCACAGCCTCGAGACCTCCAGACCAGAGCAAGCTCCACCTCCCACACCTCCAGCAGCCTCAGCTTACCTCTATAGCACAGGGCCTAGCCTTGTTCTGTGCTCTCAGTGACCAATGGCCACTTATGGCCACTGGGCTCCAGTTGCCCCACTAGCACCAAGAGTGCCACAAATTCCCAAATGTCCAAGAGCCAGCCTCAGCACGCACCTGAGAGAGGCCCAAATAGTACCTGGGACAGCTACCAGCCTGTCACTGCCAACAAAACTCACGTTCACACAGACACATTTATGTGCGCACACTCACAACACACACACCACACTCTCAGAAGACAGCCAAGCCCACAGGTACAGTGACAAGCAAGCACCCAAGCCACCAGTCTTGCTTGCCGATACCATTATCAAATGCAGTTTTTATTCTCTAGTTTTGATGACTATAAATAAGTGTTTCCACTATGGAAAAGAAAGTTAGCACAGTACATTTTCATGACTGGGGGAATGGATTTTCTGAAATCATCTTCAATAGGACAAAAACTCCAAGAGAGAGAGAAAAAAACCAATCTGGATGTTGGGAGCTCGAATAGCTTTATATAAAGTCCCTTGTAAACAAAACAGAATAAAAATAAATCCAAAAGAAGAGATAGGATAAAAAAATATTAAGAAAAAGAAATTAGAAAAAGGGAAAAAAAAATAATATTAAGACCATTTATTGCTTCTCTTCAGTCTTCTCCTTGGCATCTTCCCCATCAGCCACCTTGGTCCCTGGAGCCTCCCCATTCTCCTCCTTCACCGAAAGAGATTCTAGCTTCTCGGCCACCTTTTCAGCATTGTCATTTTTACCCGAGCCTGCAAAAGACACCAGTGAACACTGAGAAAACGGAGAGAAACAGGTACAGTGAAGCCTGTGGGAGCCAGAACTCAAAGGGACTGCCTGATTTTGTGCAGGGGTCTCATCTGCTGAGGGGGATCTGTGGGGAGCTGGGAGAGGGCAGTGGCTCACCTGGCCCTCAGACCCAGCCTAGCACCTGCTCTGCCTCATCACCACTTGTACATTGCTGTTTAATTGGTGGAAAACATTAGCATTTTCCTTCCTAGGTAGGTTTCTGCCTCATGCAGATTCTGGATCTTGGATGGTATTCTGTAGTCCACACATGGAGACAGTGCCATTTGTGGTAAAGGCTGGAGGTGAGGCCTCACCCCACACTCCCTGGACCCTTGGGGATGCTGCAACTTGGGACAAATTCCCCACAGGCCACTTCTCTGCCATATTCTCAGTGGGTGATATTAGCCAAGGTCATCTCTAGGCTGAGCTTGTCTCCTCAGTTCAATCATCAGGAAGTGTTGCTCCCTCCCTCCCTCCCAGGGCTCAAGAGCTGGTAGCTTCTTGTGGCCCGTGCCTGGTCCTGACAGGACCTCAGGCTCTGACGGGATACCTGTTGGAGCACTGTGACCTGGCTCCCTGCTTGAAGCACCTCCAGCCCAGTATCCACGTGCATGTGGCTGGCACACACACATGTTTCCGGGAAGCTGTGTTGCCTCGGACAGGCCGAAGTGCTAACAACAACCCGGATGGTTTCTCTGGCAGACAGAAAAAGCACCGGGCTGGGATTGCAGTCGGGTGCAGAGTGAGTCTGCGAGGAAGTTCCCAGTCCCCATGTACAACAGCACATCACCTTTCTTTTCTCGCTCTTCTATCTCTTTCCTGCACTCCTCAAACTTTGTTTTGAATTTCTGTGCATCTGAGGAAAGAAGACAAAAGTACGTTGTAAGAATCCCAAGCAGTCTCAGTGAAGGAAGCACATTCTAAGCCATCTGAACAGGTAGGACTCACAGCAGGCCCCCTCACATGGCGATTCCTGACCTAAAGGACAACCTGGACTATCTGATGTGCAGAACCCTCTGGGTTCTTGAGCTCAACAGGCAAGAGCTCGGGACTTCGAGCAACCAAGGAGGTACCCTTCCACACCAGGAGCCCCTTGCTCAGCCTTCCTGAACCCTGCAGGACCCAGCTTGTGAAAACCCAGAAGACCTCCACACTGGGCAGACCTCACTGTGAGCCCTCAAAATCAGGTAGCTGTGCACAAGATATGCCGCTTGCCCGGGTCCCTACCCAAAATGCCCCCATCCACACCCCTCAGGCATGAGCAGAGAGCAGTTCCAGAAGTCAGGCTCACAGTTCCACACCCTGATGAAAACACAAATGTGAACTTAAGGATGATGTGGCTCAGTAGCAACCTGATGACCTCATCTTGTCAGAAACAACTTAGCACTCAACTGCCTTGGGTTGGCCTGGGCCCAGCTCCAGGTCACAGCTCAGACTGCCCTCAGGCTCATCGCTCTGGGTCTCACATACAGCCTTCTACATGCACTTTTCTCTTCCTGCTGGTACTTAATTCCTCCCTCAAACAGTGACATTGCTAAGAGGGCGTTTCCAAAAAAAAAAAAAAAAAAAAAAAACTCAATGGAAAAATCCTATTCATCTTTTAATTCCACTTTTCCACTAACTTGCTGAATATTCAATGCACCATTAAGCCAGATAACACCAGCGAGCCCCACTCCCCCAGGTGGAAAGCCATGCTACATACTTTCAGCATTGAGGAAGCGGATGGCAAGCAGCTCTGGCTTGGGACACTCATCGGCGAAGTCAGCGTGGGTGTTCCAGACCCAGGCTCGGTCGCTGCCTGCATTCGGCTTTAGCTCCATCAGTGGTGTAACTGGGGGAGGGAAGAGAAAAGTCCAGAGAGACCTGTGTAGATCCTATGAGGCCCACCTACCAGCAACTCCACCAAACCCTGTCCTGGGGCAACTTGAGAAAGACCTGGGGTCCATCAACCAAGCCCAGACAAAGTTCCCTAGGACACAGTTCTTACCTACAGCTTTTAGAAAAACCCTGATTCATTCTAAAACCAGGACTGGCCAAAACCCAAGGCAGAGGAGGCTGCCCCCTGACCACGAGGACAGCTTAGCCAGGGTCTTCAGTGCCCAAGCACCCCTCAGCCTCATGTCAGACTTGAAGGCCAATCGGGAAGTAGGAGTAGGGCTAGTGGAGGGAGAACCCAGGAGAATGGGCAGGAGCCTTCAGACACTCCCAAGCTCCCATTGTCCAAGCCCACAGAGGACAATGCCTCCATAAACAGACAGAGATTCCTAGTGACAGACACCCACCATCCACGGCCCCCCAGAGAGAAAGGCAAACACACATCTATCCTTCTCCAGCTGAGTCCCAGGGCTGCTGAAGACCTCAGGGCAAGTGAGGGAACAGGTCCTGCATCAGACAGAGGGATGCCCCAACAGAGCCCCTGGAGGACAGACAAGAGCATCCTGGGGCCCTGGCCTGATCCATGACTGGGTTTCCCTGCAGGACTCTGCACCCACACCTCATCCCTACACCCCACACGGTGAGATGGATGGCCCTCCATGGATGCACCTGCCCCACCCAAGCTGCCCACCAGGCCAGTCCCTGTGTCCAGTGACAACTGGACCAACAGACAGCTATGCAGGAACAGATAACTCCTCTCACAAAAACAACCTGGCCCCTAGCCCAGGCTTTAGTGGAGAGGAGCACAGGGAGAACACTCAGGTTAAGTGGGCTGAGAGCTAGGCTGAAGCTCCATCATGCCTGGAGTATACAGGGTGTGGGGTGCTCCTGGTGCCCTCATGGACATATTACGTCCAACAAATGCACAGCAAACACCAGGCTGGACCAAGGAAATGGCTTTGATGCTGCTTCTTCTGAAGACACCAACGCACAGAAGCAGGCACAGGACCCTCAGGTACCACTAACATTGCCTTTGGTGGCCTATCCAGACCCTCAAAGGTGAGCCTCATCCACCACTGCCACTGTCTACAGTGCCTCACAATCACCTCCTCCCTGTTCTGTGTCCCTTCCCAGAGCCGAGCACACCAGGGACTGTGCACGCATGCATCCTATCTGCCATGTGATCACCAGCCAAGTTGTCTTGCTGGCCCCAGTCCTGTTTTTTAGCCCTGTGGTAGGCATGCTCTCAGCTCAGAGGCCACTCTAAAAACCTCCTTTCCTATTTAGACTCAGAAAACACACCACAAACATGCCCCCCTCACTCCCTCCCAAGATAAGCGCTTCCGGTTCCTGTCTGATACCACATGGCCAGAGGAGCCCCAGGACTTACTGTAGTGGTTGGCGCATATCTTCAGTGTCTTGTCCCTACGCATGAGAAGGCGGATGCTCCCCTTCTCCTTATGCCTCAGGAGCTTCACGTCGCCGGTGCCTCTCTCCTTCCACTCGGGGAGATCATTTTCTGAGGCAAAACGGTATAACTTTGCCCGCCTTTGAGAGAAATCATTACATGAGAGCTTAGATACACTCACTGATGAACAAAGGAATTATAAGACGAAGTTTCTAATTATTCCTACAAAGAATATGTGTTTTTTGTACAGTGTGGACCTTTCTTATGTCAACAAACACCCCCCCCCCCCGTAATTAGGAGATAAGAGGTTCAAAATATGAAGAGTGGACGACAGCTCACAGCTCAACACAATTCAAAATGGTTTAGTTTTACAATAATAAAGAAAAGCTCAATTATACAAATGAAACATTCTTTCCAACAGTCACATGCTTGACCTTTCACACCAAGGACAACAGCTCAAGGTGGGCACTGTGGCTACCCTGAGCGCATGGGTGTCTCCATTTAAAAGCAGGTGCAGCAGGGTGAGCACTCCTCTCGGCAGATGGCCACAGGGACGTGGTAAGGAGGCAGGCAGGCAGAGGCTGAGTTCATGTATGGCCAGCCTCAATCACTAGATGCTGCCTGCATGTCACCTAGCCCACCCAGAGAAGGGGCCACCCGCTGGCCTCTGCTGAGTCAACCAGACTCTGGCGCCAATATCCAGCTTTCCTGACCCCAAGCACCCTCTCACACTACCACATACCTTTTTTATCCAAACGAGCCCCTAGTTCCACACAGCTCAAAAGGTCCTGGCAGGAGCCCAGGCCTTGGGGCTCACCAACTCCCTCCCTACCCTGCTCACCATACCACCACTGCCCCTTATGGTCCCACAAGTCTGCTTTTCTTGTTTCTGTTACGGCTTCTGGGCACAGGGCAGCAAACTCTGCTCCAAAGTACCGCCTAACCCACGTACATCAATTCTATTACGGGAGCCCTAGCCTAAAAGGTCAGTGGTGTGAACCCATGAGCTGCTTTGCAGGAGAAAGATGAGGCTGTCTGTTGCTGCCAACATTTACCATCTTGGAAACCCTATGAGGCAGTTCTACTCTGTCCTACAGGGTTTCTGGAACTCAGAACTGATTTGACGAAAGTGGGTTTGGGGCTTTGTTTGTTGTGTCCTCCCAAGGTCTCAGAACAAGATGCTCCTGTGAGCTTTAGCAGAGTGAGGGCCAAAGTATGACAGCCTAATGTGCTGGCCTCACTTCCCACAGGAAGGTCTGCACCCATGAAGTCACCTCCAGAAACTGTGGTGGTATTTCTGGGCAGGGCATAGCCTCAGCAGACCTGTGTCTTTTCGGGGGGATACCCACCACCCTCAGAGACAAAGGAGCATGAGTGCTCCCCTTTCCTGGCCTGTGGGGAGGGGTGGGGGGGAGAGTGTGTCACACAGTGGTGATTATCTCTGCTTTTTCCTCACCCCACAGCCAAGCAATCAGGGATCCCACACTTGGGGGGAATATCCCTACAGAAGACTTGTAGGGAGGTTCCATCAACTGGAAAGGAAAAGACTACACCTTACTTTCAGCAATGTGTAACTGTGTCTAAGGCTCCCGCAGTTCTGAATGCGGGTCACAGGTGCAGCAGTCTGTGTCTGCCGTTTTCTTCAAAATCACACCTATCACTGAGGCTTTTCATAGAAGGACCACCAAGGAGCACTCGCACCATGATTTTCAAAATGGAATCTGGACTGTATTCCAGCATCCCCACCCACCTCCTTTATACTCCAGGCATTACTCTGTACTGCTGAAAACATTATTTTCACTCAGGAATTCATAATCTTCTGAGTGCCAAAGGGGTCCACATTCCTCAAAGGGAGGGGAGATGGGGAGCCAAGCCTCAGTGGATGGAGCAGTAGTGACGGATGAGCCACCAGGCTCATTTCAAACACCTTAGAGGTCCAACGAAAGGTGCTTGACACTTGTAAAGTATCATGGGTATAACCTTACCCTAGTGTGGTGCTGTGGTCAGTTTGAACTGTAAGGTGGGTGGTTCAAGTTCACCAGACGCTCCTCAGAAACCCTATACAGGATCGCTATGGGTCAGAACCTACTAGATGGCACTTAACAACAAACATATCTTTTTCTAAGGCAATGTATTGGTGTCCTAGTGTGGCACTGTAGGATAAGCACTGGACTACAAGGGCAGTTGAACTGTAAGGCTGGTGGTTCAAACTTATCAGCTACTCCTTGGACACCTTATACAGGATCGCTGAGTTGGAACTGACTTGATTGCACTTACCAACAACCAACAAGGAAATATCAGCTGATTTAAATTATTTCCAACTTACATTTTAAAAAGTTCCTCTTCATCTTCCTCCAGCGTTTTAATTTCTTGTTCAGGAAGGGACACTATCGGCTCAAACTGGGGGTCATGATTGGACTCGTCTACGTTTTCGGTGGTGTCCCGATCCTCGTGAGAATCCTGGGGAGGGTACACAGAGGTGACTCTGCTGGCTCACCTGCGCCAACAGTGTGCACCCATGAGGACACGCAAAGTAGGAATTGAAGCCCACAGCCTTTTACACCAAGAAAAGTTTGCATTGAAGGCCCAGCGCCACAGAATCACCAGGTGAGTGTAAGAGGTAACTTTAAAAAGTTTGTGGAAAAATAAATGATAAAAGAACCTGATTTTTCCACCAATGGTTTGAAGCTCCTTTCTTCTCAGAGCAAGGCACTGGATTTCAGCCCCCTCCTCAGGTACACAAGCATCAACCCCGTGGTGGGCCGACTTGACTGGGACACCTAAATCATGGCCACCCACTTACTAAGTGAGTGGCTGGGCAAAGCCCACTCATCCCTCTGAACCTTAGTTTCCTATCTGTACAATACAGGTTGTGCAAGGATTACAGGACGCAAGGGCAGATTAAAGAGGGCATCAATAAGCGTGTCACTCTCAGAGCCAAAAGGAAACCTTTGAGTTCTTTATAAACTGAAACTATTCATGCTCATGCTCTTACTGGACAAGAAAGCAAGGAACCAGAACATGTCATAAAAGTTGGCCTTTTTCCTCTAAAAGGTAAAAAAAGCAGATGCTACTTACATGTAATTCAGAGCTGCCAGCAATTTTACCTTGCCTTAGAAAACCAAGGTGATAAGTCAAAAAAGATATTGTGCAGAGGAAGGAAGGGGGAACAAAATATGAAGCAAGCTCAACTTTTGTGGTGCAGTCAGCAGAGTGTTTTTGGGCTAGCACTGTGGGAGTGGAGATGCAAATCAGATGGTTTATCATCTGCATAGGTAACCCTGGTGTTACTGAGGAAAAAAAAAAAAAATCAAGATTATTCTGCTGTTCTTAGGTGGCAACTCATAGCAATCCTCCCCATATACAACAGAGTGAAACTACCTAGTCCTGTTATGTTTGAGTCCATTATTGCAACTCATTGAAAGCCTTCCTCTTTTTTAACGACCTTCCACTTTACCAAGCATGACATACTTCTCTAGGGACTGGTCCCACCTGATGACATGTCTAAAGTGTCATGCATGTGAACAAGTCATAAGAAACCGTTATTAAAAAACATTAAAATATGAAACTATAGTTGTTTCTCAATATATCTGTTGACTAAGCTGATAACGTGACATTGTGTGATAAGCACCAGATTGCTAACTATAAGATATCCAGTTCAAACCCACCAGTCACTTCTGGAAAACCCTATACAGAGACACTATGAGTCAGAATTCACTCAAAATCACTTAACAACAGGTCTTCCACCACTTCCCCCAAATATTTCTGCGCTCCATTTACACCATGTCGAATGGCAGTTTAGGCATCCTTGAGGGACTCAAATCATGTTCCTTTGAAATGCTCTTAGGGTTGTAGGAACAAAAAGGAAACTGATGGGCAAGATCAGAGCCGTAGGGTGGACGGGGTAATGTTTTCCAAGAAAATTGTAAGGCAAGCATACTGTTATGACGGGGGAAAAAAAAAATTCTTGGCACAACCTTCCTGGCCTTTTCCTCACCAATGCAGTTTTCAAAAAATTTAACGTGCCCTCGTGAGCATCCTGTGTCCTTCAAGAAAATCTATCAAGGTGACCCCTTTGGAATCTCAAGAAAAGTTGCCATGACCTTCTGAGCTGATCTCTCTGCCTTGACTTGAACTTATCCAGCAGATCCACCCCCCCCTGGAAGCCACAGTTTTGACTGGACCTTTTTTTTCTTTTCCTAATGACACCATAAGGAAGGAGCTGTGGTAGCATAGTGGTTAATCGGGCTGCGAACCTTAAGTTCAGCGGTTCGAAACTACCAGCCGCTCCATGGGAGAAAGATGAGGCTTTCTGCTCCCGTAAAGATTTACAGCCTCGGAAACCACGTACAGGGTGGGTCACTATGGGTTGGAATCGACTTGACAGCATTTGCATTTAACAACAACAAATGACACCATGGTGGTTGTTGTGGTGTGCCACCACCAAAAGCGCCCAAACCCAATATTATCGAGTTGATTCCGACTAATAGCAACCCTACACTGGAATTCCAAGACAGCAAATCTTTATGGGAGTAAACAGCCTCATCTTTTTCACTTGGAGTGGCAAATGGGGTTTGAATGGCTAACCCACAGAACTTGTTTATAGCCATCCACTGATTGTAGTGACATGTTTAAACACATTTTGTTTGGAATAAACCTATGCAAAAGCTACAACTCCAGCAGCAACACTTTTAATTTACCCTTGTGAATTAAGTCAGTTGAGCGACACAATTAAGCACTCTAGTGCTAAAGTTGTTGTTAGTATAGTGCCATCGAGTCAGTTCTGATTCATAGCGACCCTATTATCAAGGAGCAGATGACATAAAGGTTGGCAATTCAAATCCACCCAGAGGAAGTAGCCTCGGAAAAAAGGCCTGGCAATCTACATCTCCAGTCAATAACTCAATAAAGCAGAGTTCTACTCCTACCCTGACACACATGAAGTCGCCTTGAGTCAGAAACAACTCTACGTCAAATTTTTTCTTTTAGTGCTTCTCAAAATTGAACCACAAATGGACCTCTTCCCATGGGGAGCGGAAGATACTGCAAAATACAAATCATAACGGGTTCAATAGGGCACAAAGGATTCGTGTTTTTGGCTCGGGCTTTGCAGAACACGTGACTTGGCGAGCTACAAATCTGTAAGAAACACCCAGACTGCACTACCAGACTCAAACCGGAAAAGAAAGTATCTTTAAACTACTTTATACTGGCTCGACTTCGGCCAGCTCACCCAAGCAGACACGGGCGACAACAAAGCCGCCTCATCCAAGGCCCAGAGTACCTAGATGAACTGCGAGCTTTTGCCAGCAGAGACCTGCGATGGGTGGATGGGGTCAGGCAGAAGGACAGAATGAATGAAGTGCTGTGTGGGCGACATAAGAGACGGAAGCACGGTCGTGGGCCCTGCAAGTGGGCCGAGCCGTAGAAAATCGAAGGCCCGGCCCAAGTCCTCGGCAAGTGGGGCCGCTCCGTTGGGTGATGGCAGACGCCCCGCCCGCATATGGGCCGCCCCAAGGTCACGCAGGGGCCCCCAAAGCCCCCGGGGCCTGCGCACTCGGGGCCTCCAGGCCGCGTTCTCCGCAGTCCCCATCCGCGCCCCAGAGGCCCCGCGCGTTGTAGGCTCTACAGGCCCCGTGGCCTCAGGCCGACAGGGGTTGGCGAGAACAGCGCGGGACCGCCCACGTGGCCATCGATAGCGACCCCGGCCCCTCCGTCCCCTTCGCCACGGCCCCGCCCGGGTACAGCCCCACCTTGGCGGCCGCCATGGGGGCGCGGCGGCAGTGACGGCGGCGGCAGCAGCTCGACTGGTGCGGTCGTCGCTGGCTCCGTGGCCTCTTAGCTGCTGGTCGTGGCTCCTTCCCTCAGCGTCTGGCGCTGGTACCTCCCGCCCGCCCGCTTTTCACTCCGCCCCACGACCCGAACCCCGACCCCTGACCCCGGCGGCGGGAAACGCGCCGCTATTCAAAACCCGTGCAGCTTTATTGACTCCGGCAGCGGACACTTATTGTCCGGCCTACCCCGCGCTTCCCGCCAAAACGCGCGCAGCGCGTGCTCGCCTCGAGAATGCGCACTCCCGACGGTCCCTGCGTTCATTTCCGCTCTGCGGCGCACACCCTTCGCACAGGCGAAGCCGACCGAAGGGGAGGGGTCTGAGCGGACGCGTGGTGATGACGTCTACGGAAGCCAGGACCATAGAGACGCGCAACGGTGGCGGCGGTTCTCGCGGGTGGCCGGGCGGGGGCGGGCCAGTGAAGGAAATAGGCCGGCGCGAGCCCCTGGCGGGCGGTCGGTGCAGACCCAGGCCGGAGACCCGGATCTGAGTGGTGAGGGTTCGAGTCCCCTCCCCGCCTGCGGTGTCGCTAGCCCGAAGCAGGGCGGAGAAGTGGCCCACGTGGGAACGGACGATGAGTGACACGCTTGACAACCAAGTAAAGTATAGGGAGCCTCAGGTGGGGCTGGAAAAGCAGGTGAAATGGGGCTGGGGGCGGACGGAGCTGGGGATGGAGTTAAGAGCAGAGTGCAGTGTGCACTGTGGAGGGATGAGTTTAGAAACTTGTAGGTGGGCATCCCAGAGTCAGACCTTCAGCCCAGCTCCTGCCTTTCTCTGCCCAGGACCTAGAGCCCATGGAGGGCTGCAGCCAGGGCGGCAGCAGCGCGCAGGGCAGCCCCGTGGCCTCGGCCCCCCAGGAGGAGGAGGAGAAAGGGGCTGGGGCTCCTGTAGGGCCGGGGCCGGGGCCGGAACCTGGCCTCTACGGTTACATCAGGGAAGACCTTTTCACATCTGAGATCTTCAAGCTGGAGCTGCAGAATGTGCCTCGCCATGCCAGTTTCAGCGACGTCCGCCGTTTCCTGGGCCGCTTTGGCCTTCAGCCCCATAAGACCAAGCTCTTCGGCCAGCCACCTTGCGCCTTTGTGACATTCCGTAGCGCGGCTGAGCGGGACAAAGCACTGCGAGTGCTACATGGAGCCTTATGGAAGGGCCGCCCGCTCAGTGTGCGCCTGGCAAGGCCCAAAGCCGATCCCATGGCCAAGAAGCGGCGGCGCGAGGCTGAGGGTGAGCCGCCACCGGTCACGCACGTCGCTGACGTGGTGACCCCTCTTTGGACCGTGCCTTATGCTGAGCAGCTGGAGCAGAAGCGGCTGGAGTGTGAGCAGGTGCTGCAAAGGCTCGCCAAGTGAGTAGCCTAGGGGCTGCCCTGAGTGCTGTGCAGGGTGCAGGATACACCACGGGGTTCTTGCACGGAGTGAAGTGTTATCATAGGGGACAGTGAGGTCCTCAGGAAGCTGCACAGGTCCCTGGGCTGGGTGGTAGCCAGCTGACTGAGTCCTAACTGCAACTTGACCTCATCACACAGGGAAATTGGGAGCACTAACCGCGCCCTGTTGCCGTGGCTGCTCACACAAAGGCACAAGCACAACAAGGCCTGCTGCCCACTGGAGGGGGTCAGACCGTCACCCCTACAGGTCAGGCCAGTTCTTCCTGTGTGCTGGAAAAGTCTCCTCTTGTTTGTCCCAGCCTCTTCCTGGCTTTGCGTTTCTTCCCCAAGCTCATCGTGTCCCTCTTGCTGCTGTGACCCCATCATTGACAAGTGCTGGACAGTCAGAGTGAGGTCAGATGCATCTCTTTCTGTCCCTCTCCTGCTCCCTTGACCCCATCCCCTGCAGACGGAGTATCGTAACAAGTGTGAGTTTTTGGTTGGCACCGGCGTAGATGGGGAGGACAATACCGTTGGCTGCCGACTGGGCAGGTACAAAGGCGGGACGTGTGCCGTGGCAGCCCCCTTTGACACCGTGCACATCCCCGAGGCCACTAAGCAGGTGGTTAGGGCCTTCCAGGAGTTCATACGGTAAGGACTTAGGGATGGGCTGGTGAGGTGAGGATCCTGCCCTGTTGGGGGGTGGTGCAGTTTCCGGGATGACTGAAGATGAGTAGTGTAGAGTCCTTTCCTGTTCTTGATGAGTAGATACCAGGGACCACATACTGGCTCAAGGCCTGCTTGATTTCTGCAGGTCCACCCCATATTCTGCATATGACCCAGAGACGTATGAGGGCTACTGGAAGCAGCTCACTGTACGCACCAGCCGCCGTGGCCAGGCCATGGCCATTGCTTACTTCCACCCCCAGGTACTATGGGGAACGGCCCTACCATGGGGAGGGAGCTTCCTGGGTCCATCCATCCCTAGGATGCACCCAGACTAGGTGGGCAGCGGCCCTATCTCATGAGACTTTCTCTGCCAAAACTTCAGAAACTGAGCCAAGAGGAGCTGGCGGGGCTCAAGACCTCCCTCGCACAGCATTTCACAGAAGGGCCGGGAAAGACTAGCGGCGTCACCTGTCTGTACTTTGTGGAGGAGGGACAGAGGTGAGAAGCCTGGGTTGGAGATGAGCTGGGCCCCCATAAGGCCTAGTGATGCTGACAGGCCTGCTAATACCCTCCCCAGGAAGACTCCCAGCCAGGACAGCCTGCCACTGGAACATGTGGCTGGGGACCGGTGCATCCATGAGGACCTGCTGGGCTTGACCTTCCGGATCTCACCTCATGCCTTCTTCCAGGTAGTCCAGGGGACATGATGCAGGTGAAGTGGCTCCAACTTAGTCTGGGGATAGCACAGGGCAGTCATAAGAGGTTAGCCTTGTAGAGGTCTTCGGAAGTGCATCCAAGCAAGGGAGCTGCAGGGCACAGGCTGTGAGGAAGGCAGGCAGGCAGGCAGCCATTTATACTTTGGAGGTTCAGATCCACCGAGGCTCCTTAGCAGGCAGGCCGGGGAATTTACTTCATGTACTCCATGGAGAACCCAGTAGAACACAATTCTACTGTGACATGCATGGGGTTGCCATGAAGTGGAGTTGACTCCATGCTAGTTGAAGTACAAGTACATGCCTTCTATTGTGGGGAAAATGAGGAACAGCCCTCCCTCGCCAGCACACTTCACCCTTTCAGGAGGTTTCCTGGGTGCAGGGGATTGAGGCTTTGGTGGCCTCAGGGACCAGCGTGATGCCATTGAAGGCTCCATCTCACTGCTGCCCGAAGGGGGCTAAGGTCAGAAGCACAGAGAGGCCCTGGCAGGAGGTAAAGGACAAGTGAGGAGGTGTCCAGCAACCTGTTGTATAGATAGAACTGGCAGGGGCTGCTGGAGACTAAATGTGGGGTACAGATGTGAGTGGGAGTGAGGCCAGGGCCTCCAGGGTGCCATGTGCTTGGATGGAGAAGACCCAAGCTTGACACTCAGGTAAGGCGCCTTAGAAATGTAGGAGGGAGGGTAAAGCCAGAGCATAAAGTGAGGTGACCCATTGTGTGGATAGCAGGGTAGGCTAGTGTGGCCTGGCAATCAGAGGTGGGGGCAGTGGAGGGGGGCAGGAGAGAACTGAAGAATATCAATGCTGAGGACAAGGACTGGGAGACACATAGGACCCAAGGGAGCAGAGCCACTCTGATGTCTTGGTGTCTTTGGTCCCCTCCAGGTGAACACCCCAGCAGCTGAGGTGCTCTACACTGTCATCCAAGATTGGGCCCAGCTAGACGCAGAGAGCACGGTGCTGGACGTATGCTGTGGTACCGGTACCATTGGCCTGGCCCTGGCCCGGGTGAGCCCTCCCCACTCCACTCACTTGTTATTAACTGCCCCTGCTGGAGCCTGACATAAAGGCTCAACCAAGTTCATTGTCTAAGACCCCTGATTCTCTCCCACTCCTACATCAGTTTCTGTCTTGGGAAGCATAGTAGGGTAGGAGCTATGGATCTTCTCTTTTGCCATTTCAGAAGGTGAAGAAGGTTGTTGGGATTGAGCTCTGTCAGGAGGCTGTGGAGGATGCCCGGGTCAATGCCCGCATGAATGGTGAGCAGATCTGTCAGGGCCTGAGAGCCCAATCATACGGTAACCCACTGCACCAGTCACCATGTCCTTGCTAAGGGGGCAGTGACTTTCCCATAGACCCTTGTGCGCCTGTGAGCCCTTGGGGGTGCACGGGAGCACACAGGACATTCTGGATTCTAATGGAGCTGCCATGTCGTCCACCAGAGCTGAGCAATATAGAGTTCCATTGTGGGAGGGCAGAGGATCTGGTACCCAGTCTGGTGAGCAGACTGGCCTCCCAACAGCTTGTGGCCATCCTGGACCCCCCTCGTGCTGGTCTACGTGAGTGCCTTTTGTTTTGGTGGGTAAAGGGTAACGATCAGACACCTACCCTCCAAGTCCCCTAGCTTCCCTAAAGTGACCCGGCTACCACCTGCCCATCCCCAGATTCCAAGGTGATCCTGGCCATCCGCAGAGCAGCAAACCTGAAGCGGCTTCTGTATGTCTCCTGCAACCCCCGGGCAGCCATGGGCAACTTTGTGGAGTAAGTGAGCATGGGGGTGGGCCAGGGTCCTTCCCCTCCCAAAGAGCCCCTGGGCTAGACCCACAAGCCTCTGACCCTTCCTGTCACAGCCTCTGCAGGGCCCCTTCCAACCGCGTGAAAGGCAGCCCATTCCGGCCAGTCAAGGCAGTGGCCGTCGACCTGTTTCCACAGACCCCACACTGTGAGATGCTCATCTTGTTTGAGAGGGTGGAGCAACCCAATGGTGCAGAGGCTCTGGATCCTCCAACCCTGCCCCTATCCTCCCCACCACCCCCAGGTTTCCCAGATGGCACAACCAAGGAAACTGGGCCCCCCACTTCATAGATTTCTTTTGGCAATTCAGACTAGCAGAACCAAAGACTGTTTCTGCAAGAAGGTGCAAGGAGGCAGTGCATGTCTTGCCTGCCAGGAGCCCATCCCAGAAACTGGAAGGATAGGGCCCAGTCCTGGCCCATACATAAAGCTGTTTAAGTCCTTGAGCAAGTGTGACTTGGGCATTTTTTACCAGGGCAGTGTTCCTTAGCACCCTCACAATCTAGGATCCATCACAGAAGTATACTTGTTTGGGGTGAAATACCAGGTTTTATGCTTTAAAGCAAGCTTCATAGTACAGAGAACAAGGAGCAAGAGGTTGACTCTGCTTTCCCTGCAGTCCAGGTTTCCTCTTAAACCTCATTTCTGGGAGATTAGCAATTGCCCCAGCCACCAGGACCTTGTCAGCATGCTGTTGAGAGCAGGCACCCCATCCATCCTGAAGCCAGTTGAAGCTTCCCAATCTGATCTGAGGAAAGAACTAACAGCAGTTTCATGCTGGATGAATTCAGATGCTCAGGCTGACCGTCATAGCTGTGCTGCACTCTTGTGGCTCTGACTACCCACAGACATTGCAGTTCAGCCTGTGTTCACACAACAGCCTCAGGAATAGGGGCAGCTTCACTGTGTGGGTCTGTCTGGGGAGAAACTCAAAGCTTTGGTTCCCTACAACTCATCTGGTTGTTCTCAGGGACAACAGTCAAATTATTTTTCACAGCTGAAGACAGGCAACACAAAATTGTGTAATTACAGCAACTTGATTTGGGAGATTTTAAGAGGCTACCACAGAAGCCATCCTCAGTTACGAAAATGACTGGGCTACCTAAAATAAGGGGGTGATAAAGGCAAAAAGGTTTCAAGGGGGCGTTTAAAAGTGTGGAAGAAAAAGTCCCCACTGAATAGTTTTCATCTTGTCTAGATGGGTTTGGTTAAAAGAGATGGAGATAAGATTCATATGATTCAAGAGTAGTTGTTATGACTAATTGTGAAGTGTTGTAACAAAACTGAGGAGTAGTTAATCTTATAGTCCAGAAACAAAGGACCCTAAGATCATCAAGTGGAATGCAAGCAGAGAAGCAGTGACACCAGAGAGGGAGCAGCTGAGTACTCTAAATTCATGGAAAGAGAGGGATTAAGAGGTGGTAGCCAGGAGGCTAACTTGCAGAATGTGCCCTTTGGTGGTATAAATTATATATGCCTGAGTGTTTAAAAGAGAAAGAGCTAAAGTGAATAGAAATACTGTTAACTGATGGTACACTGAGGGGATTATAATCATTGTAATGAAACAAGGTATATGGTTTGTTGAATGTAAAACTAGTGATCTGCCCTGTAAACTTTCAATCAACAATAAAAACCTTTTTAAAAAAAAAAAAAGTGGGGAGGGTTGCCCAGTCATTGTGATTTCCCAAAATACACCATGGACAGGAATACCCTAATCACAGGAAGATGCAGCTAGATCCAAGGCTCCTGCTCTGGCACCCTCTGAAGGTACAGCAAATCACCCAAAACTGGTGAGGGAGCTGATGGCTGGGCACCTTTGCCTGCAGGAGACAAGCCCAGGGCCCTGCGTGCAAACACAGACATATACCCATAATTTCACCCCACCACACCTGTCGTCCAGTGCCACCTGGCAAGCAGACAGTGGAGCCAGCTGGTCTCTGAGCCTCTGGAAGAGATCAGTTTGCAGGTTACTGATGGACTGCACGAAAGGTCCTCAATTCCACTTGGCAGACAAGTCAATTTGCTAAAATGCCTTCATTCTGTGTGTATGTGCTACATGATTCCAAATCTACATACTACTCACCACAAACGATCCTTTCCCAAATGCTAAAACATCATAAAGGCTTTAAAAACCAACAGGTGGACAGACAGATAGGACTGTGCAAAAGACATTAGTAAAAACTTGCCAGAGGCCAGGGGAGCCTCGGGGTCTATGAAGCTGTGATTTCAGGGCATTAAGACTTCATTAGGAAAAGGAAACAGTCCAGTGGCAACCTCTAAAATAATTCCTGGTGCCACCACAATCAATCAGAAAGGTCTGAACTCATCCACTCTAGTAAGTGTTGTGACAATCGGTTTTTCAGGGCAAAGGGTGACAGAGGCAAGGTAAAGACAAGATACTCAAGCGTGCCTTCTACCCAGGCTTCTGGGGTGGAGGGAGGATACTGTGGGAGCCCTGGGCAGCACCAGCAGCCACAGCTCACAGAACATGCTATCACTTTCTCATGGCATCTCTCACTTCGGTGTCATTTCTTGTCAGTGCATATGATGTACTATGAAACCTTCACAACTGGGAGTAGGTCCACATGAGGACTCAACTGTGTCTCTATAATAGATCACCTCCTGTCTGAATGGAAACTCTTGAAGTTGGTCCTGAAACATGAGTCTGTTCAGACCTGTGAACACCTTTCAAGGAGAAAGTGCTTGCTTGTCATATGTCCTGTGTGACCATGGCCACCACCCTTCTGGATCTGGTCTTTGGACAAGATGGCCGTATGGGGGAGCTGAGGCTGGAGGTCACAGGGAGGGGTAACTGACAGAAGCAGTGCCCCCACGGCTCCACCAGGTACCCTTCACACATCCACGGTGCACAGGGGCTCGCTGCCAGGCTGGGCAGATGCCACAATCGTCATCTTGGGCTTCTTCCGCGTCTCCTCCTGGAAGAACAGACAGGCGGGCTGGTGGCAAGTGGGCAAAGGGCAAGGAACTCAGGAAGGGGACATGTGGAAGGGTGGGAAGGACATGTGGAAGGGTGAGAGGGCAGCTGCAGAGAAGGGCCAAGGCAGAGAGAGAAGTAAAAGACAAGGTCCCCAAGTCCCTTTGCTAGCCTCAGGCCCTCCCTGTCTATAAGGCCTGTTGCGATATCTGTAATAACCTGGCACTGGTGCTGCCCCACCCTCAAACTTTGGTGCCCCAAAGTGGCCTACACATGACTGTAAGGTAGAGCGGCCAGCTTCCTAAATTAACTAAAAGTAGAAAGGTTTTATATTAAAGAGACTCAGGCTCAAGGAAAAGCCTATTTCACTGGGAAGGGCTGAGGGCTCCCTAAAGAGAGCATGAGGAAGCAGTGATACAATCTTTGGTACCCAATTTCCCTCCCCAGTTGCCACCTGCACTAGGTGTTCCACTTTCGTCAGAGAAGACAAAGAAGTGGAGGCAGGTAAGGAGGATCCTGCAGCGAGGGACTCCTGAAGCCCAATGGTGCTGGTTACCCATTAGGAGGAGGCCAGGCTAAGGCAGATAGGTGGGCTTGAGCCCTAGCACCTGCTCACCCTCTCCTCAGCCAGCTTCTTCATTTCTTCCTGGAGCTTGTTCAGGATGTGCAGGTTGGGCTTGTTCTTCTTGGCGTACTGCTGGAGTTCAATCACGCTTTTGTCAGACGTCTCCTGGGAAGCGCACACAGGACTCACTCTCGGGCCCAGAGGGCTGTCCACCGGCCTGCATGTGTGGGCCTACCCTGTTGCCAGCCAGTGAGGCACATGACCACCAACACCACCATCAACACTCACTTTGGGGATGGTAAGGATGGGTTTTTCCACCACACCACTTCTGCCATAATTCTTGGTGGGCTTCGGAAAGCCACAGGTGTCCTGACACCCAGCTGCCTCCAGTCCTACTCAAGCTGAGCAGGGTGGCAGAACCCTCAGTCTCTAAAAATTTTCACAAGTGGCTCTGTGGGTTGAGCAAAGCTTGTCAATGCTGTACCTACAGTGCCTTCAGCTGGAAAATCTGGAGCCCAGCCATACCAAAGAGGGGAACATCCAGCACTGGGGGCCAGCCAGGAGCCAGCCAGGCCCAAGAAACTGAGCATTTCAGCACCTGCTATTACTTGTAGACAAGGATCAAGTTGTTCTCTTGAAGGAAATTTCTGTGTCATAGGAGGCCAGAGCTCTACCTACCATCCAACAGAGGTGTGGTAGCATGATTGGTTAAGCATTGGGCTGCTAAGCTCAAGGTCAGCAGTTCAAACCCACCAGCTGACCTTGAGAAAGAGGAGACCGCCTGCTCCCATAAAGACTGAGTCTCCGCTATCCAGAGCTCTACTCTGTCCTCTAGGGTTACTAAGAGTAGGAATCAACTCCACTGTATTGGGTTTCTTTGTGAGCCTGCACTGGGATTCCTCCAGCTCTCACCTCAGTGGAGCTTCCCAGTGGCCCAGAGGAGGCTTTCGTTTACTTCAATCATATCCCAACATTTAGCTTCACCCAAGTTGGAAACAAATGTAAATGGAATTTCTGATGCAAAAGGTATCTAGAGTTTCTGAAAGCACCCTGGTGGCCACAGTGGGTGCTCCCTTGCCATGCCTTGCTCAGGGCTCACAATGCTTCTATGATAGCATAAACCCAGTCGTCTGGGACCCAAGGGAAGCACAGCCATTCCCTTGGCTGCCTGCTCTGAAGTCAAAGGCCCAGGAGACTACGGATCAGATGCAATCCTTGATCTTTGCACACCTCCCCCACAGATCTAGGACTCCTGGTGTGGTGCTGTATGATCAGCAATGGACTCTGAACCATAAGGTCAGCAATTCAAACCCATTAGCTGCTCCTTGGAAACTACAGAGTTGGTACAAGTCAGAACTGACTAGATGGCACTTAACAGTAACCACCCACAGATCTACTACCCACCACTTCCTGGGATGCCAATAACCCAAGTGGTTTCTATAAATATTAGGATGAAAATGTAAACAGTCCCCTCTCATTACTGACCTCCATCCACAAGAAAGCACCAACCTAAGGATATTAAATTTTTGAAATTTTGACAAAAACTGTAAAAACTGCGCAGATGAAACACAGTGGTCTTTAATCAAAGGTGAAATGGTACCTGTCACCATAGGAGTCTCCCTTGTGCCCAAGCCATCTTTGGGGCAGAGATAGATGCACTCACATAAGCCAAAGGATGGCCATTTCCAGCAAGGTCCTGAGGTCCCCCTCTTGCCTCCAAGCAGGAAGGAGGGCACTTACAATCAGAATCTCCTGCCTGCAGCCCCACAGCACAGCCACAGGGCAGGCCGG